TACATTGAGCATTGACCCCCCTATACTGAATTTTATTGTTGTTAACAACCATTTGATCAATAAATATGAGAGATGACCTCTCAAAAAAAAAATATTGGTGAGTTGTGAAAATAATTGTATTCTTCTCTTAGAAATTTGAGAAGATAATGCATGCTGTATCTTATGAATCAAGAATTAGAAGATTGTTGATCTTCAGGCAAGGGAAAAAATCTGGGCCACACCAGGAAAAAAAATTGCTTGTTTTGTTTGCTTTTGAAGACAGCAACACACACGTTTAACTTACACGCCTTATAAATCAGGCATTAGGACACTGATCATAATGAGGTTTCAAAAAGTAGCAATAAAGAAAAAATCTTTAATCACATCTGCAAACTCTTTCTGAATAAAGTTACATGGTTACTGAAAAAAGTACGGGTTCCAGGAATTAGGACACGGAATATCTTTGAAGGGGCCATTTTTCAGCCTACCGCAGTCCCCTTACCCCTTATAGACCCTTTCTTCCCACACCTCAGACCCCACCTGTCCTAGGCCACCCACATTCTAGACTTGCTCACAAAGGGACTGGGGTTCATGTCGGGAGGACCCTGGGCGGGCAGTTGCAGGTGGGCTACTCAGAGAGCCCCCAGCCTCCCTGGGCTGAGAGCTCCAGGGCTCAGCTCTGTCTCAGGCAGGGCTCCTGGGTGCCCTGGCAGGTGCTGTGGCTGCAGTGTGGGAGCCTCGCCCTCTCCCACCTCCCGTGTTCCCCTTCCGCATGGCTAAGGGTTCCTACAGGTTCCCAAGTGCACCCCAAGTGCTCCCTGTGAGTGAGGGAGTGCTGTTAGGAGCGGAGGGATAGACACCCCTAGAGAGCCTCACCTGGTGTTCAAAGGCCTCAGGGTCCTTCCCTTCTGTGACCCTTCTATTAATTGTCCCCACTAGGAGAAGGGCAGGGAGGCAGTGCTTCCCCCCAGCTCCCGCCCAGGGAAGCTGTTTTAGTCACTGGGGAAGATGGGCAGCTGACCTCTGACCCTGGGGCTTATGGACTGTTGTTGGACTAGTGCCCAGATAAGTCAAAAGGAAGGGGATGGGCTGGCTCAGCCCCTGCTGGAAAGCAGAGAAGAGGAGGCTACCTGGGAGTGGCTGCCACCCCCCCAAGGGCCAGCAGGGAGGGGTGCCCAGTCTTCCTGTGGCCCAAGTGGGTCCTGAGGAGGAGCCGCCATCTGAAAGGCAATCCTGGCTGAACAGCAGTCTAGACACTCTGAAGGGCCCTCCTTCCACTGGACAACCAGTCCTGGCATAAAACAGACTCTTTTTTTTTTTGGTATCATTAATGTAAAATCACAGGGGCAACTTTGTTACCAGATTCCCCCCATTACCAAGTCCCCCCCACATACCCATTACGGTCACTGTCCATCAGTGTAGTAAGATGCTACAGAGTCACTACTTGTCTTCCCTGTGGTACACTGCCTTCCCCGTGCCCCCCCTATGTTAGGTGTGCTGATCCTAATGCCCCTATTTCCCTTCTCCCCCACCCTCCCCAGTCCCTTTCCCTTTGGCAACTGTTAGTCCATTCTTAGGTTCAGTAAGTCTGCTGCTGGTTTTTTTGGTTTTTTGGTTTTTTTTCTTTTTCTGAGAGGACATCTCTCATATTTATTGATCAGATGGTTGTTAACAACAATAAAATTCTGTATAGGGGACTCAATGCACAATCATTAATCAACCCCAAGCCTAATTCTCAACAGTCTCCAATCTTCTGAAGCATAACGAACAAGTTCTTACATGGTGAACAAGTTCTTACATAGTGAATAAGTTCTTACATGGTGAACAGTGCAAGGG